TCCAATGGATGATGATCTGATTAGTCGACTAATCGCAAAAATAATCGGTGACTAGTTGACTATCAAAATAATCGTTTGTGGCAGCCCTACACTGAAACCAGGAGCAGAGCGACAGTATCTACATCACTGACATGCAGTGAAATTCTTCAGATTTGGCACCAAAGTTTAAAGATGATCTAATCAGAATTTGCTGTTCAAAATTGAACATGTTTTTGGTCAGAAATTAAGATATTTATCATTAGAAATTCTTCAGAGATGCTTTCTGACCCTTTTAACTTAATGCAGTAAAGCAAAGGGAGATGTGATACTTCAAACTAATCTAAGTTCTCTACCTTAAAACTGGGGTTTCATATTCAAAAGCACTGTGTGCTGCCAAGGCTGTTGCTTTCTGTGCTGTCAGTCTCACCTTCAATGATCAAATGCAACCTGACTGACTGTCAGGAGGAGACAACTGCAACATGCTAATATTAGTTCCTTTCACCCCCCACAGTATCATCAAGCCCCCTGGAGCTCGGCCCCACCCTGGGCCTGAAGAAGTCCAGTTCCCTGGAGAGCCTCCAGACAGCCATGTCGGAGGTCAACAGAAAGAACGAACTCCTCCCGTTCCACCACCCTCGCCCAAATATGGTGAGGGGAAGAGGCTGCAACGAGAGCTTCAGAGCAGCTATCGATAAATCCTACGACGGGCCGGCTGAAGATGATGACGGTAAGCGGGAGAGAGAGACGTGTGTCTGCGATACGCTGACGATGCATTGTCATTCATTTGTCTACACATCACATGTTGCTGCGTTAGAATGTCAGATTTGTATCTGCAGCTCGGTCTGATCGGTGACATTTATCTTCACCACGTTCACGTGGAGTTTTCTAACGCAGTGATTGATGCCCACTCGACTTACCGCCGTGCGCTAGGTGTTCCCCAATTACATTTTCTCAAGTAAAGTGTGACAGGAGCTTTGCAACAAGCACCTTATGCCTCCAAATATCAGCACATATTCAACTCCCAGCTGTGTTATTAGCAGCCAAGTCTTATCAGTCACCACCAGAGTAATGAGTCGGCTTGTTTCAGATCACTACACTCACACAGGATACGACTAATAGGGCATTTCAACACACACACACACGCCATGGCCACATCTGTCACTATCCTTCTAAATATTCAACACTTTCAGAGCTGCAGTTAATCGACAGAGAGCACTGAATCTGTCTTTCATTCCTCTGCTGTGTGCTTCTCTTTGTCTGTTGTCGTCACTTTTTGCTTGGGTTTAAATCATGTAAATGCTTATCGAGCGCTGCCTGTCAGAGGTGAGTTTGCACTCTTTAGCCTGGACCTGCGTTTGTTAGAAAGGCAAACACTGGTAATATTTTGACAGTCTAAATAAAGCAGTTAATGTGCAGCAGATGCATTGTGTGGGGTCCTGAGCTGAGTCCAGCTAATACCACAGGAGAACAGTGTGTCACAGTTTCTAATCTATTCACTTGTGATGAGTCAGTGCCTTTGAGGATTACTCTCAATACTTTTTCTTATTTCTGTTTAATTTGGATCATTTCTTTATTTCTTTGGCGCAGAAAAGATGAAAAAATCCCGACTTTATGCTGACATGTGCCGAGTCTCTGGCATCGACCTGCTTTGAAGCAAATATTCTGATTGTTGCTTCAACCTGTTGTTGTGATATTTGCACATTTTCTGAAACACTAAAATTCTGTGAACAAGCCTCACAGGAAAAATAAAAACCCACATATGTGCACAATTATCACAGCAACAAAAACTCTTTAGTGAGATCACGTCTGCTGCCATTGTGGATGCTGTGGGTCTGCAGCAACACAAACACACACGCACACTTCCATCCTCCCGGAAGACGGTCTTTGTAATTAATGCTGAAGTGAATACCCAAATAAAATTAAGCCCCATTTGAAGTCATAAATTTAGTTTGGTTAGCTTATGAAATCTGACAAGGAGTCTACAATTTCTGCGTGTTTGTGTGTTTGTGTTGCGTCTCAGACCTCCAGTCTGTCAAAGAACCAATGAGGCGTCACGGTTTACTCTGTGAAGAGCAAATCAACTCTCTGTAAAGCTGATAAGTGCACTGTGGAGAAAAATGGAAACTCTTATCTGACACTTTGCACGAGTCATTTATTTGTGCACATTGTTGCTTAATGTGTTTGTTTTTTTTGGCCTTGACCCTCTTTGTGACGTGCTGTGTGAGCACCAGGCTCAAACTTGTAGGTGAACGTGCAAGAAAACGACCGTGCAAACAGTTTGTACTCACACAGCGTCATCGGCTAAACGTGGAAAAGTCACCAGCATCACTGACTGACTGGTCGGGTCACACCCCCAGAATAGTGTGTTGTTTTTTTTTGTGTAGTTTATTATCAATAAACAACATTTCACAGACATAACCTGCAGTCATCGTACTTAAAGCTGCCTTTGGTGGTCTCTCCTGCACAGCAATCCTTCAGGTCAGGTTGATGCTTCAGATGTTTATGTTTTATTGAATTAAATCCAAAGTAGTTGTTTTTGCTACTTTGTTTCATCCTCCTTATATCGTTCTTCTCTTTTTCCCCTCCAGATGATGGTACCGAGCCCAGTTCAGGTCGGGACACGCCTGCGAGTAGTTCCTCTCGGCAGGGAGTTGGTGACCAGGCCGAAGAAAAAGGCAAGAAAGAGAAGAAAAAGAAGGCAAAAACAAAGAAGAAAGAAAAGAGCAAGGTGAAGGGAAAAGAGAAGGAGAAGAAGAAGACCGAGGAGCCCGAGGAGACGGAAAAGAAGAGCAAGAAAATCGGCTTCGGCCTGCTGAGGTGAGGGATTCTAAAACGAGTGCTAGCATTAGCTTCACTTCATTGTTTCTTTGTAATAAAATACAAACGTTGAGCGGAGATGCACAACAGCAGACTAAAGATTCAGTTTAAACAGACGTTATAAAAGCCAGAAACCCTGCTGTCCCCACGGCCGACCACACGGCCGACCACACGGCACATATGAAAGCTCTGAAATCATTTCTCACAGAGCGGTGATTTCCAAAACGAACATCAAAGCGTCTATTAGACCAACATATTTGTTTTAACGTGTCACCGGCTTCAGTTTCACATTATTCACACCATCCAGACTTGAGTGGAAACGTGGTGGTACTGGTCTGACAGTCTGCTCCGCTTTGCTGAGCCTCACTCAGTGAAGTTTAGTGTGTTTGCTAAGATGAGAGTGAAATTTGTGTCTTTCTCATTTGCCCTTTTAGATATCAGCGTTTTTTACTGTTTGCTGATCAGTTTTTAGTCACCGATAAGCAGTCCTGATTTCTGCTGCTGCTGGTGGTCTCTGTCCTCTCAGAGCCCACGAACCACCAGCTGCACAGGATCAGGTCACCTTTTGTATCAATGCAAGGAGCAGAGTTCACTAGGCCGTCATCTTTTCTTTGTTTATTGTCAGAAAAACTGACGTGCATCATCAAATATGTGTACATCCCACCTGCGTTCATACCGTGTCGGACAAAACATGAACACTGAGCTCTTTTTTTGTCCCTTCGTGAATCGCTGTCACGTGCTGCTGGGCACAAAGACCGCTCTGAGACCGGTGCTCACATTTTCCTTAAGAGGCCTGAAATTTTCACTCAGAACTATTTTGTATGATTAAGACTGCACCTCTCAGCGTGACTATAACATACGTAGCATGAATGAGGCAAAGTGTTTCAATGAACAATTTACTATACTTTCCACCTTAACTGCCGCCTACTATCAGTGTTTTTCCCCACCGTGGTTCTGAAGTGGGGTTTCACATGACTATTACACAGATACAGATCTTCAGATAAACAGCAGCGTGCAATTTGATCTGCAAAATAGAGCCGCAGCCTTTCAAAATACACTGACAAAAGCAGTCTGTGTGAACTGGGACACAGAAAAGCACTTCCAGATTTCAAAGTCCCATTTCATCACAATGATTGTATCTCCAAATTGCATGTTATTTAAAGTGTAATATTAGGCAGTTGGACTAATATGCACTAATTTTGTGTAATCGAATAGGTTCAATTCTTTTTCTTTGAAAGTCGCCACCTTTTCCCCAATCTCCCTTCAGCCGACTTTGTTTCTCCCATTCTTGCACCATTTAATCATTAGGAAATAAACCTTTATGATGTGGAGATAGAGCCTGTTTTATTGTGCTAAAATTCTATCTTTGTTATTCAGTGGACTGTGTAAACGGCTGATCTAAGCCTGTTAATAATTATGTCAGATGTTTTTTATTCTTCGCTAAGTGTGACCGAGTGTGAGGATGACTAACGGAGCGCTGTGTCCTGTGTGGTTTACCTTTACAGGAGCTACCTGTCTGCCTCCTCCTGTGTTTATCCTTAGTTCAGCTGAGCTGTGCGTACGTTAATGCCGCCGTCCTCCAGCCCTCAAAACATAAAGAGACCTTGTAACACAGAACAAAGTGAAGTAAAACTGAAGGTCTGTGATTCACTCTGGGTATTTCTCTGTTCTCTGGAGCGACTTTGTTGTTGAGTTGTCAGACTTTTCAAATTAAATATTGCGATATTTGAGGATTGTGAATAAAACTTCAGTCCAAGATCAGATAACAGGAAGTGTGTGTGCGCAGAAAGTGAGAAAATGGGTCCTTTTCTTTGTGTGTATGAACTGATCTTCATCATAGCCTGAACCCGTCTTCGGGAATAGTTCTCCAGGCTTCCTGAAGGACGTTCAGAGCTTTTCTTTGAGCGTTTCTGCCGCTCGTTCAGTTTCCTGTCGAGATGATCCCACGGTAAATTAATAGCGTAGAGGTCTGGGCTGTGGGAAGGCCAATCCGTGATGGTTTTTGTTGTTTGTGTGTTGTTTACTGCACTGGCAGCTTGTTTGGAGCCACTGTCATGCTGAAAAATGAAGCTGTTTCCAATCACATGCTTTCCAGATGCAAGAATCTAAATCTGATGGTACTTAAAAAAAATCTAAACAGCATTTGTTTGCAGAAATAAATCAATGCTGCTCCCTGTAAGCTGCAGCATTTTAATATATTGTCACAACTATAATTGCTGCAAATGTCTTTGAAATATTTGATCGAAATATTAGTTTTGATGCTATCTTGCCCACTCTTAATGGGGACAAACAATCTGTTTTTTGCAACAGGCTGCTAGTAACAAAGTGGCCAACGATCCAGTTTAAGACTGGTTCTCTGTTTTGTGCAGAAACAACACTGGTTTCTCCCTCAAGGTGCCTTTTCATGCTTGAATGATTCACAGATCAGTGTTAAGTGGCTTAACAAAGAAACACCCAAAAAAACCATTCCTCCGAAAATGCTCAGGTACAACGACTGAAACCGATGAAAGCACAGTAAACTCTGAAAGACCCTCAGAAAGTCTGGAAACTGTAGACCACCTAACAAAGAAAACTAGAGCACAGTGTACCTCGTTAGAAGCAAACGTAAAGAAATGAGGAGAGGCTCAAGACTTTTGCACAGTACTGCATGTATATAGAAGCCTGGTGAATCTTAGCTTTGGACTTGAGATGAATGATGCTGTTTAAACATGTTATCAAAATAACTGCTGATGTCATTAATGACGAAACGTTTGATCATCATCACTTTTGTCTGAAATCAGCAGTGGAGGTCCAACAACAACAACATACCGACTGGGTCCTAAACTCCGTCTGTTTCAGGTCCCAGAGTCAAACGAACACTGCAGCATCACTGAGAGTTAAAAACGGTCTAAATTCTTTCATCTTTAATAAAATGATCAGTGTTGCTGCCTTACCAGGTGTAACAATTAAGTTTAACATCCAGGCATCCATGAAAACAGAATTTATTACATTTAACAGAGTTAGAAGTTAGCAGGAAGTGATGTAGCATGATACCTAAACATGATATAGCATGTTCTCACTGAGAGATTTCTGAAAAATTCAAACGTACAGCTCTGCTATCACTTACAACATAAATGAAGACAGAAAACTAAACAGCAGTGACGTTTGTAGGGTTACTGAAGTTGGACTAGCTGGTATATAATGATGTGCTACGTGATCGCTAGCTACACAGCTATGTTAGCATAGAATAAACACTGTGAAGCTGGAGGATGAACTCTAACCTTTTTCCACTTGATAAAAGTTAACGTGAGGGTTCCCGATGGTTAGAGACAAATGCAATCGCATGACAGGAAGCTGTAAACGGACCAAACTTCAGTCAGGAGAACAACTGAGATAATCCATCCACAATACAAGGTTAGTCTTTAATATAAGATAAGATAACCTTTATTTGTCCCACACATGGGAAATTTGTTTTGTTACAGCAGAAAGTGGACAGTGCAAAGTTACATAGCAAAAATTATAAAACATTATATAAGGCATTTAATGTGCCTCATAATCCAGTGTGCCCTATGGTCCGAAAAATATAGTACATGTACTAGTATTTGATGACTTCATATAAAATACACACTGCAAACAGAGCTAAGTAACTCAGTCATAAATCATGTTTATATAAGTAGTTAAACGATGACAGAATGTACCTCCTTCTCTTTCCTTTTGTTGGTGGTTTTTGTGGCGCACACCTCCATCACACATCACAGACTGAAGGATGTGGTTTTTCCACCTACGTCGCTCCATCGCGTTTGTCTTTGTTTTAAGCGCCTCGGAGTTCAGCGAAGGTTACAGTGATACCTTCTGCGTGTGTTCATCCACCTCTCTTCCTCTTGTCTGCCACTCTGTTTGATTACGGTTTGGACAGCCTACACCGCACACCCGAGAACATCTCCAGTTTAATCTAAGCAAGCCTCCTCTCCATCCATCCTTTCATCTAACCCCCGGCTCTCCCATCACATCTCGCCACAAGTGCTTTAAAACCATATAATACACCCGAGGATATTTTTAGACCTTGCCCCTACACCTCATCGCTCATCACTGTAAGAAGGTCTTGATTAGATCCCAGTGATCATCTCAACCTTTCTCTCCTTCTCCTCTTCCTTGCCATCTTTTGCAGCGACCACCCCCACCCCCTCTCTCCATTCCCATCTCGCTAATCTTTGCATCATTCCAATTTTTCCCTCTCCGTCTGCTCTCTCCAGCTCCCGCTCTCTATCTGCATTTGATTGCATGTAATGGTGGTAGACTGAGAAGGCAAATTGGTGCTATTCAGTACAGTTCAATCTGGGGCGAGCTGCTGATTTGTCATATTCATCTAAGGGCACCTTTGATTGGCCTAATGGTCTGGAGGAGAGGCAGTATGGGACACTCTGCCTTACTGCACCTCTCTGGTTGTACAGTAGTAAGTGTGCATGTTTGTTATAGACGGTTCGCACGTTTGAAACTTGAATTCAACCGCTGCGTTACCTCGCTGATCGTGCACCGCCTCTGAAGACGCTTACTTTACTGGATTTTGTGATTTGAATTGTTAAGTTGGATGAAGGGAGGGTTCAGCGTTGCAAGTACCTGCAGTTACGTAATTACTGTATGTCTCATTCTCATCGTTAACCCCGGCGATAACGTTTGCTTCAAATGCCCTTTAAAGTGGACAGCTGGCTCCGTCATCTGAACCGTTGCCACTTGCCAATCAGATATGCCAGTCATCTGCGTGTGTGTGTGTGCGTGCACCGTGGTAACCAGCCCACCGTCATGAATATTCATGTGCTGATAAAACACGATTGGTCACACAGTCAGATGGTTGTCATATAGTTGGCACATGGTTACTGTGAATCTTCCAGAGTGTGTGTGGATGCATTTCTTTTTCTGTAAAGTGTGCATCTTTTGTCTTTCTTGCTCAGACCTTTTAGCGTCGTGTTATTGTGCTTTATGTGTACAGAAATATAGTGTGTACACGCAGCCATAACTCTGTG